ATATATATATATATATATATATATGTGTGTGTGTGTGTGTGTGTGTGTGTGTGTGTGTGTGTGTGTGTGTGCGTGCGTGCGTGCGTGCGTGCGTGCGTGCGTGCGTGCGTGCGTGCGTGCGTGCGTGCGTGCGTGCGTGCGTGTGTGTATTACGTAAATACATTTCATTCGCACATATTGTGGATGACATGGGTGGTGGCTATAGCTTTTCATCAGAGGCTAAAAGATAACAAGATTAATTTGCTGGCTCAAGTCTTGGCTTTGAAGCGTGAACTTCACTGGTTAGCAAGACAGCCATTGGGTACCCTAGGTATGACACGATCCTGTAATAAAATTGGAGTCCATAGCTACCCCCAGCAACTACCTCCCATAAAAATCCAATCTGTTGATTTGCTTGGGTTTTCGGGGATGGGATTTCGCTTACTACATCTCACTTATCCCGATCAGATTTCCTTGCGGAGATGCGAGCTGTAGCGCGTAGTGTGTCGTATTTCTGCTGACCGGCTAGCCCGACGAGGCTGTGCGACTGATTGTCCGATTGTCCGACTGATTACCCTAACAAGACCGTTTCTTGGAGCTACTGATCGGCATGCTTTCTGCATGAATCATGTTTACGTACCCTTGAGGCACGAGCCATTATATTTAGCATTTATTTCCATTTCTGTAATGGTAACTCATGTTGCCATTCTTCCTTTGACTTCCATCCATCCCAACTCAGCATTTCTCTGTCATAATACTGATGGAACACATTGAGGTATTATTATTGTTCTTCTTTTCCCTTCTCGTGTCTCCTCATTTTCCTCTTCCTTTCTTGGTCCAAATACACTCCTCTCTTCCCCCACCCTTCCTCCTCTTCTGCTCATCACTCCCCTTTTCTCCACTCCTTCCTCTTGTTCTAATTCTTTCACTTAATCCTCTACGAAGCTGCTGCGGTCTTCTTCCAGTTGGGCTTGCTTTGTCGCATGATTTTAATCTGCCAGACAACAGACCAAGCCTATATCCCTTGGGATGTAGTTTTGGATGGGTTTTTATAGTTCAGTGTATTATTTATTGTTCGCAACAAAAGCGAGACAGAATATTGCTTGGTATTGCACCTGTCCTACCTTCACTCTTTAATGAAATAGCGTGCTAGGTAGAGTCTGGATATTTACGTCTTATAAATAAATAAATAAATAAATAAATAAATATATATATATATATTTATTTATTTATTTATTTGTATGAGCAATTATTTTCATCAGGTAAAATTTTCCATAAATGGGTAGCTTGGACAGCTGGTGGGCGTGATATTTTATTACAAAGTTCTGGTAAAAGCGGAAGAGTTGACAGATATGGTGCATTTAGATGCTTGAAAATTTCATGCGAATTCTAAAGTGCTAATGAATAAATGCATCCGCAGATTCAGTTTTATGCTAATAATCGTTTAAAAAAACTCTATAAATTCTAGAAATCAAAAGATGTATTTCGACGGCGAGGGCTTTGCGCGATCGATGTCTGCGTATCGTTGGCACATTGCCCCCAGGATATTGCAAGCATTTTCACATTAGAAAATTCCTCGGACATTTTTTCATTTTTCCTCGGCGATGCAAGAGTTTGATACCGGCTCGTCAGTAATGGTGGCACTAACAAAAATGTGGCCTGTAAGATTAATTTATCAAGTAACTGTTCTGTTCACTGTTCTGGCACGTCTATGGTTACCGTTGTGGGATATTAAGATTGATCCTAGATACAATTTCTGGAAACGTCGTGTGACGTTTAGGTTGCCGCTAGACGATACTGCTCACTTTGATAGGCAGTCTGTACGATTAGCCATTAGGCATACATGATACAGACAGATCTGTATAATATAACCTGATATTCTCACGGGTACATGAATCGACTGACATATCTATATTCCTGATATTATTATTCCATGATTCGTGTGCATTCACGTAGCTTGCGACATTATCCTAGTTAACTCGATATAACTTAATTGCGCATTTTGATAAACGGTGTGTATTACATACAATACGGGAAGTAGATGATGTATGGGTCTATCTATCATAATTTCCTGATATTATTGTGTATTTCATGGTATCGTAACATATGAGGGTATGTCTGCGGCGTGTATAACAAGCGCAGTTAATATGCTTACAGTCTTACCGTGAACACATCTATACAACGTACATACATTGTGTAGATTTGTTCATGGTCTAGCCTATCATTACCTTACACATATTTTGCGGATGTGGAATTAAATTCTGTTCCTATCTATACCGCTCGCAAATATTTCCCTCGTAAATATACGACGCAGTCCTCTTTCAGCACAATGCGTATATATATATATATGTATATAATATCTTTTCCTCCCCCCCCCCATACAAATCACGAGGTCTATTTACACGATGCGTCCTAGACGTACGTCCTAGATGTACGTCTAGGACGTATGTCCAAAACGCACCGTGTATGACAATGCAAATGTATGACTTTTGTGATATCGGATGCACAGGACGGATGTTTTAATTTCTTCCGACATTGCGTTTGCATTGTCATACACGGTGTACGTCCTAGACATAGGACGTACGTCTTGGACGCATCGTGTAAATAGGCCTTTAGGTTGACTAGCGGAGATGACCAACTTTATCGGGTTTCCGAGAAAGGTGCAGACGCATCCTATGGCAGATATTCCGTTGCCGGATCATTCCCCTGTCCTCTCCAGCACCATCCTTCCTGTGAGCATGGTTGCTGGTTTGATCGTTGGGTAGTGCGAGGCTATACAGTACACTGACTGTACCGCGTAGCTATTAAGTATTAACTGTTCGACTGCCATGTAGAGTAGTTTGGCGCGTGGTGCTAAGCATGTAATTTTCGCCTAAAATGCCACTATCTTTAGTTTACCGAGGCGAGAGTTCCTTCTGAATATTTGCTGAGTGGTCGCATATGTGCGCGACGTTATTCGGTGGTATTGCGTGGCTATAGTTGGCAATGAGGAAAGATTTAGTTTAACAGGTGAACTGTACACTGCACGTAAAATCAATAGTTTCATTTCAGCATTGATCATTGGTCGTTTGACAGAAATAATATGGGGTTGTGTGTGTGTGTGTGTGTGTGTGTGTGTGTGTGTGTGTGTGTGTGTGTGTGTGCGTGCGTGCGTGCGTGCGTGCGTGTGTGTGACACAATTGAAATTGGTTTTATGAATTTGCCAGTTTGCATTCAGCTGATAACGAGTGGTGGAACATGGTCATATGTGACGGGACGAACGATTGTGCCCGGTAGTTTACCCTTTAATGAAATCACCATGTGATGGTGGCGAACAAAAGCTGTGTTACTCTTGACAAACCGTTTTTCTATTTGTTACACTTTTTTATGCAGGCGATCAAGAGCTAATAATACCTATTTAGCTATTTTAATTAAATATTTAATGTAATTATGGACTCTTGAGGCGATCCCTATCACATCGTTACCCTCTTTTATTCCGTACCCCTATCCCTATACTGTAACATCTGTTCACATCGCTATCACATCGCTATACACATCGCTATCACATCGGCAGCCTATTTGAAGAGGAGCGCATTTTGAGTCATGCACCAGCGAAAACCCATTAAATCTAGAGCTCGCGATGACAGATTAGCCTGTTATTATGAGCTGTTGATTAAATGCGTGTTGTGTCGCGACGGTTGGCAGAGGCAGGTTTCAATCATAGGTATCCCATAACGCACAGATGTTTATGGCTTCAGCAACATTGCAATTGCAATGAAGTTATTGCGCGGGCGAGAATGCAGCGTCCTTTAATGAGGAACAGCAATGAAAACAGTGTAAATTCGCCCGCTTCGATTCTCGAACAGTTCCATTATATCGATATACGCGGGCAGCCGTATTGTAAATAAGTCAGCGAGCGCGTGTGGTGATGGTTCGACGGTGTAAAATCATGTACACATCACGTACGTAGCCTTACATTTCCCGTCGCTTGAGATGTGCGTGCGCC